CACAGAACAAATGAAGGACTTTCAAGGCTGGATAGAGAATTTAGAACATTAGGCTGATGCCTTACTGAGCATCACTAACCATATGTAGACAATAGATCTGTCTTAGAAATTCTTCTCAACGACATCTCTTCTGGATACCCAAAATTTCAAGAGATCACCACAGTTAGGCTGTTTGAACGACTTCGAACGCGTTCCAGGTTGGTTTTGACTAGAGAGAACTCCCCCGATTGCTGTGTGGCCATCTATCCTGTTAGACTTGAGCTCTAATCACACTACCTGCTGGCTGTTTCGCCCGACCCACCTAACCTGGTGGCTAGGCGGTTCCTCATGCCGCCTCAACTAGCAAAGTGAGAATATGACTGTCTTTGCTGCTCACACGTGAATTTATAAGCGGTGATAGAAGTAAATTTTGGAGATACATAATCACACCACTACGCCACCATGCTAGACTTAATTTTCCTAAAATACTACATTTATCCTCAGATAGCTGGTTGTATTTTCCTCGTCCCACTCATGGCCTTTGAGTCCTATTGGTCGCTGACTGTTTTAATTTATCAGTGTAGTTTCTCTCAAGGTCATTCAAAGCACATATATACGCGAATCCTGTCAACCATTTTTCACTGCTGATACGAGGCGGTAAAAGCTCTCTACGTCAACAGGCTCTCTTCTCTTCCTGTCTTCTTGTGCCGTGGTTTCGGCGGTATCGTATCGCGTTGTTGTTGTCGTGGTCGCAACTAATATTGGCTAGAAGAGTAGGCTCATTAGTCGACCAGGTAGGAAATTTGTTCGCGCAACTGTCAAGTGGATGAGTGGTCAAATCACACCATTGAGCTCTTGTCCTTTGAAAGTCATTCTGACCACAATGTGTTTCAGCCCACACAGATAAACTGATCGTTGACAGTGAAACGGATGAAGTCCATTGAATGGACGAAGTTATTTCACCCTCTACGACACAACTGGTATTTTCAAACTCCCAAATTTATTACTTCATATGTAACTTTGTGTGGCAGGATTATGTTATGCCTTGATATTAAGTATAACCAGACACGAAGAACTAATTCATGCATTCATATTACAGTTTTACAAAAACTAGTTTTAAGTACATTTACCGAATATTCACCATTGTATAACTGGACACTGGTTTTCGATTGTTTACCTATACTTTCCGATCTAACGCACCGCTGGCTTTTGTTAGCGTACTAAATCTTTCCCCTCAATAGTCCTAACTTTGCATTTGTTCGGACATATGGCGCACCAGAACACATAACTAATTGACTGAGTCCTTTTCATTTACAATTTTACAGGTATTTACTAGTCAGGCAGAGTGCTGATTGGCGTGGTAACTGGTCGTATTACTTTTCGTAAGGCTGGTAGGGCGAAACTAATCATTAGCATAATCAGTACCTTACATGGCCATCAAGATCTACGATCAAGTAAGGGTACAATGGAACAGTCAAACTGTTTTTCACTGTTCTATTCGTAATGCTCTATATGTCTTAGTAAGATGTTTTCCTACTGCCGGTATTTGCACTAGCTGGAAAACCTGACTGTTCCCAGATTTGGGCAACTAATCCTTCTTACAAACGCATTCTGATCTCAGGGCCTTTCCAGCACTGTTTTATTTCGTGCATAGGGATCCCAAGCAGGTCACTATGCTCACTTTCGAGCGGAAAGAAAACACAGGCTACAGGAAGACGCAAGAATCTTTCAGGAATTATCAATATAAGTATAAAACTTGGGCACTGTAGTAGATTATAATTCCATTATGAATAAAATATTATTTATTTATTTAGTTTGCGCTCGAAACGTCATCAGTAAATATTACTGTATAACACTTTGTGATTTGTCAAAATAAAATCTTATCTATAATGGAATCTTTCAGAGAGCCAGTGAGCTGTGGTGGAATGTTTCTTCAAGGCTCAGGTGGTTTCGCCATGCATTTTCAGGGTGTCTTTTTGAGTGAATCCAGTCTTCCACAAAATTTTATGGGGCACTAACTGCCTGCACTCAGTTAGCTCTTACGACCAATTAGCCTCGGTCAAACTGCAGATGTCCTATCTGGTTTGCCTACTCTACCATTCTGTCCCAATTGTTTTCAAAATTTCCATCACTATAGGTCTCGTTCTCTTCTCGTTTGTTCTCTCATTTTCATTCGGCGTGTATTTGAATCCACTTTCTTACCTGTCTCATACCCAGTCTTCTTGGCTAATCTTCATTCTGTTTTTCATACCTATTCTCCTGGTCCACCTGTTACTCATATTATAGGAATTTCCTCAAAGTGTTTGTCAACATAACTATGGGTGTCCCAGGCGGAAGAGAACTGGCAAGTACCAGAACTGCCCTTTATTTGGGACAATTACGCGTTCCTTTCAAAGAACCAATGTATTTCCTCTCATAACTTCAAGTCGAGGTGAAGCAGCTTAGTAGAAATGCTCTGCCGGAATCCAACATCCAAGATCGTCTTTATCAGCCACCATAAGCCAAAATAACTTCTTCGTGATCACTTCTTGATTGTAAGGCAAAAGTTCTGGATAATCGGAAAATTTCTATGTAGTTTCCCGCTGCTAGACTGCCGTAGATTTATTTTACTTTAAGTGGATTAGCATGGTAGTCAGTTATATGTCATCTACAGTATGCATTGTGTCACGACCATGTCGCTTCTGCAAACAGGGTTGATCACTTCACCGTTAGTCATCCTGTGTAGTCGAAAAGAAAGATAATAATGATGAAAATAATAGGTGTAAAAAGTGTAGATTCCACGGACATAAATAAGGACAAACGAACAGCCAGATAATGAAATATAGTAAAGAATTAGTGAGTGAACAGGCAAAGTGCCTAGCACAGTGAAATTAGCGGTGAAGGACAGGTCTAGGTGATACTTGTTGCAGCCTCAGTACAGATAACTCCCTGAAGATTCGAACTCTCAGTCTTCTACCGAAATCGTTAATAAACCCAAATTGTTCGAAACAGACTTAGATTGAATTCAATACTGTTGAAAAACTGAAAGATTATTGTTCTTTTCAACAAAGTGCATTGGATAATCTTGTCGCAGAACCTCAAATACAAGGTTATCCAGCACCCATATATCGAGGACACAATGGCTGAACACAAAAACGACTGGTAGTTAAAAAAAATGCGAATTGAAGGGAAAGATCTTCAAAAGTTCAACGAAACACAAATGGTCTGCTTCGCGCAAAATGTAAAATTATACATAAATTATAACTCTTTCTTTTTCCGCGCTATACAAGAAGCTGCAAGACTCATTTGTACAGCATGACAAGGTATTCAAGAAGGGAATAGTCTATTTGAGCGCTGTCATCTCGTTAGTGTATGATAATGTAGCCTCCGCATTAAGCATTCGTTGGAGTTTACAGTAGCCACATCTGCTGATGTGTTTGTTGGGGTAACCCTGCTCATTTGCAGTCTTGTACCATGCCTACCATACAGTCACTCCAAAGGCGATGGTATGAAAGGACCTTAATTCCTCATATTTGCATTGTACGGCTTATTGTGGCTGCCCATCACCTCTTTTTCCACCCGTATTTGTGCCGTTTGCTTAAAGGTTGGCATTTCTTTCAAGTGATGGGAGAGCAGTGATATTGTTCATCTCAAGGCGCCGTCGCACTATGTTTTACACAACCGTAGAAAAAGTGGAGGATTGAGTATGCAATGCCACCACTACAAATATAGCCACCTAGGGGTAGTTAGTGATGTAGTATTCAGAAGGATAAGACAAGTAACCAGGCAGTAGCCATATCTTTATGAGTTTCTTTGCCTGCCGAATGATGAATGTCCTTCGGTATGTCTAATAACGTTTCTTCGTCTCAATTGCTCTCTCCCGTGGTTTTAAAATTGACGTTTAAAACTTGACATTGGTTTCTGTGACAGTGCTGGCTGATGGCTACCACTTTCCATAGTTATTTTGAAAAGTCGTTTTCCCAAGGCGCGCTTGTCCATGAGTAAAAGGTACAATACCTCAGCCGCATCACCCTGTAATCCACGCCTGTATCCAACTTTTCCTTAAGAAGAAGACGTGAGCCATTCCGCGACACTGCAAAAGACAAGTCATCTTCACATGGTGCACACGACTTGGCACACTTTTTGAACCAGACACCACACCGTTAACCAATAACAAGTCCTGAAGAATTTTCGAGCCCGCCTGCAGGTTATCTGGGACCTCCGAACACTTAATTTCTCTACAAGTCACTACGCCATCAGATTAAGGAACAGATGGCAGTTAAGGCAGCATGAATTCTATCGATGAAAATCTTAAATATTAAGATTCGTGGGGTAGAACTCTGGATGCAGAGCCGTGCGACGATGTTCAGACACGACTGACATGGGAAAAGGTTTAACTTCCATCCAGGCAGCCCTCCAACCACCAGCGAAGAGTACCCAGCTTGTTTTGTGAGGGTGGAACGCTCACATCTCGGTGATATTTCCGGTCTTCGCATGCTGGTAATAGATTCGTTGCACAAGTTCTACCGCTCTTGACATGTGTAACGCTTCATCAAGTATGTTGTTCCTGTCGATGGGTCGCATTTACTTTTCCATCAAAATGATTATTCAGATAACTGACCGACGACCTCTTATATTGTAGGAGACTGATGGTATTTATGAGCCTTTATTTATGGGGGATGCCAGAGGGCAACTGAAGTGGGGAATGCCTAGTCAAATTCCATACGAGTACCAAAATACTGTGTAGAATGAAGTTATAGTCAAAAATTAAAAAAGCAGACTTTTCCGGTAGAAAATATTTTCTTCCACTCATTCCATCCTACTTATCATAGAAATGTTTGAACATGGTTTACCTGGGACATAAATAACTACAGCTTATATTCTAAGAGTTTACTACAGTCAGATCACCACTATGGTGACAAGGCAAATCACACTTTCCATAAATACTGACAGCATTTTGTACAATTTCGGCAAATATTATTTACGGCGAAACATTGACCAAGCTTAATGTCAACTAGCTGACATGACAACATGCCGATTAAGCCCATTAGTATTCAAAAAGATGCCGAATATCGAATATTGGAAAATTGATGGTGTTGTTCTAAGTACACTTGTAGGACGTTTGTGAGGCGCGGACAATTGGTATTTTCCTTACTAGTCTACGTGATGGGTTTGTCAAAGCTAAGTATTAGTGATGTTGATCTGAAAGGGAAGCGTGTCCTTATTCGGTAAGATGGTTTGATGAGTAGTGACTTTTTCCCCTTACAGTGTCGACTTTAATGTACCCATGAAGGATGGTAAAGTCACTAATACACAGAGGTGGGATGTTTCGTTGCTTTACCTTATATTGTTGTAGGATCTCTGCAGCCATACCGACAATTAAGTATGCTTTGGATAAAGGCGCTAAAAGCGTCGTGCTGATGTCGCATCTCGGTCGTCCAGATGGCAACAAAGTTGATAAATATTCCTTGAAACCTGTGTGCCCTGAAGTTTCTAAACTTTTGGGCAAGGAAGTAACCTTCCTTCCTGACTGTGTTGGTCCTGAAGTAGTGAACGCTTGTGCAAATCCACCTACTGGGACTGTATTTTTGTTGGAAAACTTACGCTTTCACGTGGAGGAGGAGGGAAAAGGTGTTTCACCCACTGGCGAAAAAGTTAGTATGCATTGCGATTCTTAGTTCGCAAATCATTTAGGCTCATATAGTCACTTATATACGTTTTTGAGTAGATTTTCACTTTTTTTTTGGATGATTTGGACTTTATGAGATTGTTCCTGATCTGTGTAACCTAGCTCGTTGTAAACCACTAGGTCGTCCGGAGTTCTCTTCATAAGAATTCTCTTGAAGTAGTAATCTTTAAGTCTTACGATATTTCAGATTTGAGCTTATGTTATTTATTTGGGTTCCCATCGTCTTGGTGTTGTTCATATTTGCATGTTATGATCCCTATTAGTCATCATCGACACTACTACTTATATAGTACCCTCACTAAGTCTGTTGTTTCGAATTTGTCTCGGTGCTAGATATTTATCTTCAATGGCGTTAGAGTGTAATTCAAAGAAATTACAACTTCACAAGATAAAATAGACAGGCTAAGCATTTATAACAAAGTGTGCCAATTTTTCAGCTTTTCTTAATGAATATGGCTTTTTTTACTTCGTTTCACTCACCTAGTCTGAAAATTATATAACGGGAAATGTTTATAAATTAAGTTGCATCTAAATTATGCTTAGTAGATGAAGAATGACAAACAAGCTTTACGTTAATTATAGACTAGTCATCCTTGTAAACGGGTTTATTTTTCAATATAACAATTGGGACCTTGGAAAATAGAAATTTTTTTGGTAGTGTGTCACTACCTGTAGCTATAAGATTCCCCAGTTAAACTTTTACAGTGAGTTTCTGTCGACGTTGGCATGTGTTTAGTTTCGCGCTATACATTTGGATGATGTGACTTAACGTGGAACCTGATTGAATCTAACACTATATTCTGTACTTCTTTCATTAACAGACGAAAGCCACTGCTGACCAAATCAAAGCTTTCAGTGAAAGTTTAACGAAGCTGGGTGACGTTTATGTAAATGATGCATTCGGTACTGCTCATCGAGCCCATGCGTAAGTGAATTTCTTTATTTTGGCCAGTTTGGTGGGTAATTTCAAATTAAACTCGCCTACTACTTCGTTTTTTAAAAATTAAACTGTAACAAACACGTGTTACAGATGTTCGGTGTTTATGTCTTCACAAGACTATTGTATAAATGGAGGAAACGAAGTAGTTTGTGGAAATGTATGAAGTGGTTTTTGATCTGTGCACCTGCTTACTAAGAAGTAAAACCAATTGGTATTAATGTATCAAGATTGAGTATCTATATTTATATTATCGTTGTTGTCAAAACTTTTAGTTTATGACGTAGCAGTCGTATTATTTCACTGAATTCTTTTCATTTGTATTCACTCAATTTACCTGTAATTGTCAGTTAACTCTGTAGTTATAGATTGCTGGTGATCATCCCTTTCTATAGACAGCTATTTTTCTGAATTCGTTCTTTTTGGTAATACGTTTTATTTTTTTTCACCATTATCTAGTCACTCAAGAATTGTTTTTATATCACGTATAACTTCGGTTGTAAAAATCATTTTTCATTATCAAATAATAAATACTCTTTACCTTGCTTCCTACTATAAATTTGTGGTGTTTTTATATTGATTCGCTAAATAGTTCCATGGTTGGTTGTCAACTGCCACAAAAGGCCTGTGGATTCCTGATGAACAAAGAATTGACATATTTCGCCAAAGCTTTGGAAAATCCTGAACGTCCGTTCTTGGCTATTCTTGGCGGGTAAGGTCTTTCCCATTTACTTTGCTTTATATAAAAATATGGTCTTCCTGTTACTTTTAATAGTGTTGTCAAACTACTTATATATATATATATATATATAACCCTCTTTTTCCTTTTAGTGCTAAAGTTAGTGACAAGATTCAACTAATCAATAATATGCTTGATAAAGTAAACGAACTAATCATTGGTGGTGGTATGGCGTATACATTTTTGAAACAGTTGCACAACATGAAAGTAAGTCAACTTACCAACGTTTTTCAGTCCTTATCAAAATCTTCACTTATTTGACTAATTTCTAATGTACAAGTCCTCATCTCGGAATTCTTTCTCCGACTGTTTATTTAGAATATTAATGAAAAACTAAATCTGATTGGTTGTCACGATACCTTTTTAACAGTCTTGATTTTTAAAAAAGTGGTTCCTGCAGAAGGCACATCAATAAATTTGAATATTACAAGCAAATTAATTTACGAAATATATTGTTCTGTGAAATACTGCTTCAAACTTAAGATTGAGTGAGTACCTACTAGATTTCGGATGATCGTTAAATGGAGACCCAGTAGACTGCCTCTGTAGTTTATGAATCTGCAAGAGTCACTACACGTAGACTTTTGGTTTGAAACTGGAAGCTGGAACCATAGTTGGAGTTTCGTTATACCAGCTGCACTACTTTTGGGGATTACATCAAGTCGCATATTTAACGTTCTAGTGAATAGTTATTTTTCCTATATTGTAGGGGCTTTAGTTCTACCAGATTTCTAAATAAGTTCTTTATAATTTTTTGTAGATTGGGAACAGTCTATTTGATGCACCAGGTGCTGAAACTGTCAATAAGGTAATGGAGACAGCAAAAGCGAAAAATGTTGCAATTCATTTACCGGTCGACTTCATTACTGCTGATAAGTTTGCTGAAGATGCGAAAACTGGATCAGCAACCATAGAGTCTGGAATTCCTGATGGTTGGATGGTAGGTTAAACTGGCGATCACAATAATAATAATAATGAGTATAAATGCCTATATTTATGAGATTTCACTTTTAGTGTTTTGATATGCTCCTCTTGCGTTTCGACATCTATGTGTAATCAATAAAGAAAATATTCAGTATCTTAATTTTCGTCTAATGGTATAACCGCTATTCTGTGCAATGTAGTTTTACTGTTTTTGGATCCGGTTAAAGAGTAATTTTCATACTTCCTACTAACTAGTACCTGAATTCGGAATAGTACCATGAGAACAAGGGTCGTATTAATTACTTTGTCTGAACACAAACTGGAATTCAGGCAATCAGTTATTTTTAAAAACCAACAACGTACATTGCTCAAACATGCACAATAATTTTATGAAATCGGACGCAACATTAAGGGAAGCATATATTTCACAGAATACTAAATTTATAGCTTTTCAAGTGATTTTCATTAGCCCATGCAAGCAAACAGAGATTTGAAAACTGCATGTATGTAGGATTTCAAGTTCAATGTGCTACATCTTCGCAACATAGTCTGCTTCAATAATTTAGGCACTCATGTTTCACACTATGGGCCCAGGGTTCGAATATCTCATCATCTACCTAAGCCTGGATATTTTGGTGGTGTCTTTAGTCCTGCAAAGTTAGTGTGGCTAGTATCCTGGTAAATAAGAAATGTGTTTAGGACAACTGAGTTTTAACTGACTCATAATGTGGTGATAAATCTAACAGAAAGGGTTGTGAGTGTTCTTCGAATGAAGGGAATAATAATTGTGTATTTACTTTAATGTGTCGTCATTAGCAACTGAATATTCATTTTTCTTCTACAAGACTTTTTAACAAAATAAGTAAGAATGCCGTATACCTAAGAAATCAATTTCCATTCATGTTACTTTATACAATTACCTTATTGCATTGACTAGGGTTTGGATATCGGTCCAAAAACAGTTGAAGAATTCCGCAAAGTTATTGGTCGAGCTAAAACTATTGTTTGGAATGGTCCTATGGGTGTTTTTGAAATGGATAAGTTCGCTTCTGGAACAAAGGCAGCAATGGATGCAGTAGTTGAGGCCACCAAAAATGGAGCTACAACTATCATTGGTAAGCCATTATTGTTTATATTTCGTGAGATACATTCGAAATACTTTATCTGCACCGGTTAAGCCCTTCTCCATATGTAGCTTAGACTTGGTACAATATGGTCACAAAAATTTCACATAAAATGATAAAACTATAGTATAAGGAAGGGAGAAATAAAATATTTCACAGGCAACAGACGTGATTTAGGTATGCATAACTATCTAGAACACTCAAGAAAGCGTTCCTTCGTATTACTATTAAAAATAGAAGGAAGAAGGGAACTGTAGTGTGCTCACCATTGATTGCGATCTATATCTATAACAGTTTGAATCACTGTCGTATGTTTCCCAGGCTGCACTTAAGGAACCGTGATCAACCAACACAACTACCCGTGATCCCGCGGCGCCACCCCACAAATGGATCACCTTAGCTTCCATCTAGTCCTAACAAAGTGTAAACAGGCTTCAGGATGATGGGGTGACACTTAAAGACTTATCAATGCGGTCTTCCGAAATGATAATGCTATTAAGAAACGAGTCATTGGACGTCAGAATTACCTTTGTTGATGCCACAGGGTACGATCAATTCTGTAATGATAGTAATGATTGAACTCATCCTCATTGCTCATCGTTGTCGTTTCGTATTCTCTCAGGGGCATTTATGAAATATCGTTAGTACGAGAGGTCCCGTTACAAGGTTTCGCGTTACATGTAGATTTTCCACATTTTAATTTAAAGCTACTCATCTGTTGTGCCGTGTTTTCAACTTTTGTCGTTATTTCTAGGGATTGTTTCGAAATACATGAATATCTATCTTATGTGCATTTTTATAGGTGGTGGTGATACTGCAACTTGTTGTGCCAAATGGAATACAGAGGACAAAGTCAGTCATGTTAGTACTGGTGGTGGTGCAAGCCTTGAGCTTCTTGAAGGTAAGATAAAATGATACTAAGTGACTGGAACTCTCGGTCTTATTGTACATTTACTTTACGAATATCATACAAATAAGGTGTTTATTAGTTCTGTTTTATCTGTTGATGACAAGTTTCAGTTATTTGCGTTCTAACTGGTTCCAGTAATCGAATCAGATCGTTCTTCGAGACGGGTTAAGTGTGTCCATCAGTTATATTGATCTCGACAGCCTTCAAGTGAAACTGTGTACCTCCATATTCGATGTTGGTGGTGGTTAGGGACAGGATTATAATTTGTTATTGCTTAGTCATTATCAGACTATTTAAGCACCCCGTGTGCATGGTTTTGCTACCGACAATCTCACCATGCTGATTTAAGTACATCCTAGTCTTATGCTATCTGTTTATTACTCATAGTCATCACTACTTTATACTTTATTTTTCTTCCGTTTTAGGTAAACAATTACCTGGAGTTGTCGCACTTACAGACGCTCACTAACAACTGTCTCAGCATAATATCTTGTCTTTTTGCGTCACAGTTAGTTTACTGCATACCTCTATAATTTATAAGCCTTTTTATTATTACTACTACTATTACCATCATTACAAGTATGTCACATGAATACATTGTCTTCTGATTTGTCTCTTTGTGGTTATCTATTCCTACCAAGTGTGTGTGCATTAGCAAGTGCTGAATACATCTTGCAATATAAAACTACACGTTAATGTGAACCCAGTGTAGATAATTTTCTGTTAGTATTTTCAATTAATTTCGCTAATTCTATATTAACTTACTTGTTTCACCAAAATAAATGATCTTCTGGTGCAAAAGTTCTATTGGATTTTGTTGTTGTTTAGAACACGTTTGGGAAATCTGTGCATAAAGCGCCTATCATAGTAACAAAAATATGCTGTAATATCAGTTGTTGTCATTACATTTGCATGAGTGATTGTAGTGTCTGTAGTTGCTAAATTAGTGGATTGTTGATGCGGTGTGCTATAAAAGACTTAATTGTTTATTGCGGTAAGTTTATGGAACAACTGTAATCATTTTACCACTACACCAATGTTGGATGTGCTGCAAAAGTTATGTAAATTACTTCTCTGTCAAAGTGTGCCTAATTTCGTGAGTGCTTTAAGAGGAATGTCAACTTATGCAGAAATACCTGCAGCATGTGTTACTCACGCGCCCATCACCATCCTACAACCTCAGTGTTATTTAATGTGGCTGGTCTACCGAGAAAATCAACTGGTTAGCTTAAGCGCACCAACTAAGTAGTTACTATTATATTTTGAGGTTTGCGTATTTACTTCGAAACGTAAGATAGAAGTGGTAGGGTTTTGTCGTTTTCAGTCCGTCATCAAGGTTATCAAGAGTCTTGGGGTTTAAAAGACTATTAAAAATGATATTGCATCATTTAAACGTGATTATCAGAGTCTAATTACGCGAAGCTTCGTCTGCACGAAGTTGTAGGCGAAATCCCTTTGAACGTTTTGGTCATGCTTTATGTATGACTCTAAATGAAGTCTCTGCTTGATGGTGCGTGACCAGAAGTAACAGTGTGCTCCAGAATTGAGCTGTTGACTATTCTACGTTTTCCTTTTGATGACCATCCTAGTAAGTGTTCATACGCTCGTCTAGAGAATATCCTGCTGGTACGGCCTATGTATTTAATTCCACAGGAGCAGGTAGACTGGTGAATGCACACTTAAGTTGTCAAAAGTGGGATCTTGTCTTTGACGTTTTGGTGAATAAGAGCATGTGTAGGAAAGGTAAGACATAGAGAGGCAGCGAAGAACGTTCTAAGAATTACTGTCGATAGGTAGCTCCGGAGGACCTCACTAACTGTATCTCCCCTTAATTTCAGATTTACAATAAGTTGTTTTTTCGTCACATCCAGGTATTTCACAGCGTCGGTTTTTCTCTTTAGATGTTTGTCGATTAAGGAGGTTGGATATCCATTTTTGATTAGTGTGCCTGAAAGAATTCCAATTCCTTACTCTGTGTATCTTCGATAGATTGTCTTCACGAGAGAGAGAAAGGATGTCGCAGAAGCAGAAATAGCTAATAGGATTTACCAAATGTGAATAATTGCTTTAGAAGTTACTAAAGACACTTAGTCCCTGTCTTTATGGAAGTTAAAGAACACGTGGTGCAAATCTATGGTGAAATACCTAAAGGGATACGTCACAGGTATGGATGTTCACAAGGTCACGTCGAGTGGTGGTTTGGTTGTCATCGTGATGTCAACATTTTTTGTGTTATCTCAGTTTACCACTACAGATAGACTTTGTTTTATTGAGTGCCAACTTTTAATTTAGACACAAACTAAATAATCAAACTAAGAAAACCAGTTCCGATAATTCACTTCATGTTCTTGCGGTACTTTCATAGGTGACTTGCAAGTTAACATTAACTGACATTGTTGGATTTCTTCAACTACACATTTCGTTACACTATTCTGTGAAGACCTGCATCTCTTCAGCTTTTAACCTAAGTCTGTGATTTCTTTTCGTCCCACTCTACACTATCGTCATTGCACATTTTATGCAAACGTGATAAGATCAAGTTTGGAGAAATGAATATTTTTTAATGTTTTACCACAGATATTCATCTCAGCATTTTTTGCATGATTTAGGCTTCGTGGAATGTTAGATAAAGAAAAACAAACAACAAAACTTTGCATTACCAAATAGTATTACAAAAGAAAATTAATTCAGTTTCTATGGCGATAGAATACATAGCCGTGTTTTCACATAGGTATAATGTCATAGTCTATATGGATTAGGGAAATTCCAGGACAGCTTAGACTTTATGCTGTACATTTCCAGCGTAAGCCTGAATTAAGAAATAATGTGGTGTGATCTTTATTTTAAGTTTTCTTCACAACTGCCTACAACCAAGAATAAGATTGGTGAAAAGTAAAAGAAAATATCGGTGAGACAGTATTGATTCAAATGAATTGACACTTGAATTACTAATTGGCTTAATTGATTTTCAGATATTTAGAAAATAGGTTTGGTCTTCATATTATTAGGATATATCTCACGAGGTTGTGCAAATCCTTCCTATGGTTTATAAAATCAGTGGCTGTATAACAAGGGAGAAGGAAAGCAGGTTGAACACAGTGAGAGAATGAGAGCTTTGGATTCACATTTTGTTTACTATTAAGCATAAATAATCTAAATAAACTCGTTGTGATGACTGAAAGTCACGGTCTAAGCAACTACATATTTTGTGTAGATTTTCGTCGTGTTTCAGGATTATGTATGAAAGCTTTTCAGCAGAGATGTTCGGTATTGTTAATATTACTGCAGGAGTCTGTAGCTGCACTCAAACTCATAGGTAAACTGCTTGAAGTTGTCAACGAATTCGTATATCTAGGTAGTTGAGTGAATGCTGGCGGACGAAATCCCTAGACATATAGTGCGAGATACGGTGGTATACGCCAATGTGAGCCACCTGGCGCTGTTGCGACATCATCCTGGCTGTCAAGTGTCGGGTTTACAATGCTTCGGTGCGCTCAGTCTTGCTTTATGCATATGAAACTTAGCCTCTTTGGACTAAGGATGTGCGGCAGTTCTGTGTATTTGATCATCGCTAACTCCATGAAATTGCTTTTGTCCGATGGTATCATCGTGTAAGTTTGGTGGCGTGTGTTCGGACACGTTGGAGGTCACCACTCAATGAGTGTCATCATCTTTAAATGCCGGCTTCTGTGGCTTGGACATGTGGAAATACCATCCCAGAGGCCGCCATACTAGTCGCTGTTTCCTAGCCCCGGGAATGGACGGAAAAAGTGGAGAGGCGATCAGCCTATGGCATGGCACCGTCCCCAGCCAAATCACAGTGCCAAGTAAGACACTGCTTATGAGTTTGGCATTCAAAAGTGACACTTTTACTGAAATCATTAGAAGTCCTTTATCTAAATGTATTAATCACTTTTTATACAGCTGACTTACATTTAGTATTTACCAGACGAAATATGATTCTATAGGGCGTTAAAGATAAACTACCGCTTATGTCCACCTCTATGTGCATAAACTCATTCACATGCTGGTGTGGAGCTGATTACATTGAACATTGTAAGCGTAATCCCAATAAACGCTTACCTGAACACTATCCGGTTTGGTTAATGAAAGGTGAGAACAGGACGACACAGTCTTCAATTTGTGAACACCTTCGGAAGTTAGGTCATTCAGCCACACGTGATTCATCCTTTAAAGATATCTACAGGACCAAATCTAATCACTCCAAAAGCCTACGTTTTATCCACTTATGCATAGCTGAAGCTATAGCTATGCATGTACAGAAACCTAAATTATGTATTCAAAAAGTTCTATCAAGTGCCTTTCTTTGCCTTGGTAATAATGTTCTTTTATTTTATTCTATTTTACCACTTGAATTCATCCCACTTCACTTCATTTTCACCATCTTCACTGCTAATTTTCTAGACAACACTTGACCTACAATCTTAAAATCTTTATATCACTTCACTTATTTAATAATCTTTAATAGTTTTGTAATTCATCCACTTTAAATCTACTCCCTTAATATATCATTTTAATCATATTTATTCTTATCATTTGTGCAATACTGACTGAGCCTTCTTCCGCAATATAAATACGACTGTACAGTTGGTTTGAAAATGAAGTCGTCGAAAAGCGATATTTCTTCGCTGAACAAAAGCTGTGTTTTTCCTTATGAACTAATGAAAAAAGTGGCAGTAATTAACGAAATATTTGAAATATTCATTCATTCATTCAATGTGGGGAGATTATTTATATTGAAATGGCGGAGAAGAAAAAATGAATGCTCTCTCCCAAAACTAGATGAGAAAATGCACGACTTAGTAATCTTTCATGAAAGTAAAGAGTGATGCACTACATTCCAACTGAATACAATGATGATATTATCATTAATTGTAAAAATCAGGATAGTATTTAAATTTTTCACGACTGGCAAATAAAATAATTAATCTTAACAGGTATTTCTAGATTGAAAATAAAAGCTGTGTGGAGGAAGGTCCATAATTTCTGTTGGAAATTTTTATTTCAAGCATATACTACACTCATAGGCTAACATTAATTTTTCTTACCAACTCTACTGGTTTTCATTTGAAAGCATTTCTTTCGATTTGCCTTTATTGTAAATGGACTTATTAATTTCTTTAAGTTACCATAGATCCCTGTTGTTTTATTTTTCATATTTCAAATTGTAAAATTTGTAATAACTTCTATTTAATCTAATCCTATCTTTAAATGAGAAACCTTTTGATGTAAATTCCCAGTGTGAACATATATGAATGCTATATGATTTTTATCCATCTATTTTGCTTTGTCTCAAGAGTGCGAAATTTTGACAGCCATATTGACTTTCTGTGTAATTTAACTCTAAGAATTTTAGGTATTTTCACTTACTTTTCTTTCTTTTGTTCCTTCACGTTCCCAGTGGAACATGGTGCTTCAAGCCAGAGCTTTGAAGTTTCGGTAGCAGTGTTTGCTTTTACAAGGTGGGGTTGCTAGCCTCATGCCCAACCTTCCCTCTTTACAGGTTTTATTACTGGCTTAGTGAGGCTAAAGAGTGAGTCGGCCGGGGATCGAACCCCGGACCATGTGCGTGGTCGGCGAGCATTCTACCGCTAAGCCAGAGACGCACACTTACTCTTAGCCCATACCATACAACTTATTTTTCTGTAGTCACAGATCTTAGCAAAATTATGCAGCATACTACTAGTTATTATGAATATCTCAAAATTCGTATCACCCTCCCCCCTCCCAGCCACCGTTAGATATTCAGTAATCTGTTAACTGTATGATGAGAGTCATACACAGTTCTGTGCATTAATCAGCCAACTACAGTTAATTTGAGAAGGATAGAGGTAATACTTGTTTACTTAATGTACGGTGGGTAGAGTGTAATTCAGATTTATGGCTAACAGTCAAGTATCGGAAATCGTTGCAAATATGCTTTTTGGTTGTTACACATAATTTAAAACAATTAGTCCCTTTTATAAATTTGGATAGCATTATTAGAAGACGGAGATTTTCTGAAAAATGTGATGTATTTGCGCTATACATTTCGAACAATCTGATCACACATTTACTTGTTAAGTTGATATACATGAAAAAATTAAGGGCAATTAAATTAAACAAAGTGACAGAAAAAGGATTTAAGAATGATTAACACAACTTTTGGTAATCCAATCAAATAAGGATTACCAAGGTAGGTTAAGAGTAATGATAAACTGTTTTTTTGAATACACAAGGGTATTTGATTGGATTACCAAACGTTGTGTTAATCATTCTTAAATCCTTTTTTTGTCACTTTGTTTAATTTAATCGCCCTTAATTTTTTCATGTGTATCGACTTGACAAGTACATGTGTGATCAGATTGTTCGAAATGTATAGCGCAAATACATCACATTTTTCAGATAATCTCCGTCTTTTAATATTGTTGTACATAAGATCATCTTTTTAATTTATAAAACCTTTAAATTATTTGATTGCTTATAGAGATATTTTTGAATATTTACTCAAAATAAACTTATCATGAGATATATCAATGAAAACTCACTCAGATAGGACAAGCTCTGTAGGCTAGAGGACCCGGTGGACCTAATTAAACAAAATAATATAATTTACAAAATATCTTGCAATGACTGTGAGTGAGGTCAACTACATAGGTTAAACTAGCAGATCGGGAGTAGTGAGATTATCAGAACATAAGAATTTAGCTAAGTTTAGAGTGATTGGCCCCAGGAAGATAAGTAATTTAGAAAAAAGCTCAGCAATCACAGTGCATACATTAACATACATTAACACACATACAAACAAGAGGGTGGGACAGAATCTAAATTCAAAAATGTAATATAGGCAGATGGAGAGGGAGACAGGTGGATTACTGAATCACGATCCATCGAGTCTACACCCAACACATGCAACAGAAATGACTCAATGCAAATACCAGAGATATGGAAGATATTATTACCAGTCAAGTCTGAGGATGATAAATAATGTTAAACTGTATTCAGTTCACATTATAATATTTTAACGAGTTATTTATTTATTTTACCACAAAAACATCTTATTTCCCATCTGATTGTATTTGATTGATAACACTAATACATTTTTCGAATGTACTTTATCTTATATTGATTTTATTCAAATGTCTAATCATCAGTTTTTACTCATGTATATAAATGAAGCAAGAAAGTTGTATGAGTGAGTACCTTGATATGATTATGAACAATAGTTTGTGCTCGAAACGTCATCAGTTAATATTACTGTGTGACTTATCAAAATAAAATCTTATCCATAATGGAGTTATACCGTACCACAGTGCCCAGTTTCTATGCTTATATCAAAACATTTCTTTCCCGTAGTAGATAAAAAAAAGGCAGCAATTGTGAAAATGGCAATATAAATTCACTAAATTCTGCTGTTGTTTATTTCATTTATCAGTAAACCAACATGCTAATCATAGTAACTGATTTTTTATAGCTTTCTTCCACAGACATACAGGTATGATTCAAGCTTATCATTTAGTATTCCACTGAGTAGTAAGTGTCAGACGTAAGTGTGTACATATAAAAGTGATGTGGTTACTTACATACGAATATGACAAAATTCACTGTCGCGTTTTTCAGGTCGCATATTTTAGCTCGGTGTATCTTAACTATAGTGAACGTTGGTCTGTGATGGATTGTGAGATATTCACTTTTGGGGCACATGAACTTTTCGCACTTGTTCTACGCTTTCTTTCAAGTCTAAATCTCATTATTCCATTTCAGTACATAAGGGGTGTTTTGAACAGACTTGGTGCATTGTAAACCTGAGATAGTGACTTAACATTTCATTGTGTAACTAGCTTCGAGATGCTTTTCTCACCTGTTTATCGAGCAGTTGTTACTAGACAGATCAACACTAGCCTATCTTAAAAACGGTTACTCAGAAATTAGAGGATAAATTAGAGACTATTCCAACTCAGTGACTGAATTATGACAGGATTACCATAATAAATATCAGTCAGTGACTAGATCCTCTAGCGACTGTTAGATGTGCGCTACTAATGTGTTTCAAACGTTTAGGGAACGTCTATTCAGTACACCTTGTTTCTCAGTGATTCCTTGAAAAATGTCAGTTGGCTGGGGAAATTTACCTTAAAAATAAAATAACACTTTCAGCTAAATTAGTAAAATTTTAAGGGTTAATAACTTCACTACGTTTTGAATGTACTCATTTATTTTATTTAATTATTCCCTGAGGTTCCAGGTCCAACAAATGGCCTCATCAGCACACCTCCTTTCCACGCGGTTCTCTGCAGTCATGACATGAAAAGATTAGCTGTCTTCGATCATAGGTGTCTGCTTTCTATCTCCCGCTTGAAGTGGTATAATAAGGTGAGCAATATTGAGGTTAGGCGTCGAGTGCTAGGTAAGGCGGGGAAATCAATCGATGAGACTGTGAAATTACATCGACTGAGATGGTTGGGACATGTATTACGTATGCCTAGTCATCGCCTTCCTCGACGGGCAATGTTAGCTGATATAGGGTCAGGCTGGAAAAGAGCTAGCGGCGGTCAAACGAAAACATGGCACCAGTCAATGAAATCTACAACAGTCAGTCTAAGCCACATAGGAAGGTGTAGACTGGCTCCCTGGTTGGGGTCCTCGGGACGGTAAAAACCAATGGTTGGAAACAATTGGTGACATGGCTCAAAATCGTTCTCAGTGGCGCAGATGCATCCACTCCTTGTGACTTATGATTTCCAATGAAACTGTTTTGTTCTTCCTTATTACTATTCCTTTGTCTCACACCTCTGTTTACTGTCTCTAATATGCATTTCTCCTTTCTTCTCTTGCTTTGTGTGCTACAAGAAGGGAGTGTGGCGACTTGAACTGCCGCACATATGTGCAAAGTTCTATGTCGAAAACCGACCGACAGACCGCAGTCTTTTATGGCTGGCTTCACGGATGCCTCCAAGATTTCATTTCCTCTTCACATGATCCTTTCAATATCCCCCTCGGTCGCCCAACTCGTTACTTCCCATCCGAGTTCCAGTCAGTGTCGTCGCCTGTATTTTCACTCAAAGGTATCCTAGAGCGTGTCCACTGATTTGCCTTAGAAAAACGGTGAGTTGATCTTCTCTCAACTCTTATAAAAAACGGATATCTTTAAAAAAGTTTTCATCGGTTGATTTAAATTAAAAAAAAATACAATGTGCTTAGAGAATGAATATTTATTATACAAAATTTAAAATTATCATTTACTATTCAAAATACAATAATCACTTTTAATTTTTTGTAATTATTATTCGTGTTGAGACAACAAAATCATTTTGATTAATAATAACATTGAAAAAGACAACAATGAGAGGAACAGTAATTATAATTACTAAAACAACTGGCATAATATAAACAGGACACAGACAACGAAAATCAATAATGCTAATCAATAAGCTTTGATTGATTTGGAGAAAGAGGAAAAAGAAAAAGAAAAGATTATTCTTGAAATATACAAGTAGTTCAGATCAGTATGGAAGATGTCTTCTTAGAATTGAATACCGGGAATATGATCAAAGATGTGTGTGTGCGTGTATGTCGGTGTGCGTTTGTGCATTTGATGCATATTTCATGTACCCAGTAAATATGCTCTCACCATCGGTGATATTACTAACAGCAGTCTAGTGTATGCGGATATTTACTGAATGGGATATAATGTTTTTTTATTTTTTGGTTGTGTTCGCCCTCTACCTGATATCAAGTCGTAGCAATTACTAAACATACACACACATGCATACATCTTTGAGAAGCGATTACGTGTATCTGCATGAATATAATAATTATTATGAATGTTGTGTGGAGAAGATTAGAAGTAAAGATATAACTGATAGTGTGATAGATAGTTTTAACCTTAGTGAATCTAGTGCAAAATGAATATAAGATTAAGTTTATTGATTATTTAGTCAATTAATTGTTCTAATTATAGAATTGAAACAGAATTATGTACTGTATTTCAACTGTTATTACAAATGTAATAAGACATACATTAATAGTATTAATAATAATAATAATCACTATTATAGTGATTAGTATAATAATCAGTAGTAATTTAAATAATACAGTGAGTGAAGGATAAAGGATGAACTCTCTGTATCAGGGTAAATAGGATTAAAAGAAACAAAGATGATAGTGATTAGAATGTCATTCATCTAATTACTTATTCTGCATAAGACGCAAATACTGAAGATTTCATATATATATGTATATAAATTGTAGGTAAATTGAGGTAGTTATTACAATAAAAATAAAACAAAATGCATTTAGTTTTTCCCTTATTGTCACTTTTATAGAAAAAGTGTCATTTAAGTTAATTAATTGTTAGCTTTCTGTAATTTGTTTTCTCTAAGGTAAGTAAGTATACCTTCTAGCTAGACGTCCCGCTGCACACCCACACTGTTATCCTACTGACCACATTGAACACAGCCACACCTTTTTGCTAATTTTATAGTACGCTCATAAACAGCACCATTGGGACAGTTAAATAAAATTGGTCGCAGTTTAATTTTTGTCGCTTGACAACAATATTGTTGTTGTTGCTGTTTGTTAGATAGGTGTGTAATTATCCCGTTAGGATGATTTGAATGAGAGGATTCAAAGGGATTGAAACTGTTGACTGTTTCACTGGAACGTATTTCTTTTGAACTACGTGGTAGCCATACTTGCACTGAATCTGATGATCTTTTATAAATTGTCTTCCATTTATAGAATTTCATTGATTCTTGATTGTTTGAACTGTTCTTATTCAAGTGCTGTTGGTGTTGGAGTTGTTGTTGCTGTTGTTCATGGTGTAAAATATTTGAGTCACACGTACCAGAACATTTACGAATTGATAATTTTCTTGATGAGATACAATTTGTTTGAGGATCACGTATATATGAACGTTGAGTGTCACGATGACAAGCAGATACTATTGAAATTTGAAGAAAAAGAAGAAAGTATTAAAACGAAATTTAAATTTTTACTTAAATAGTTAATTGTACTTTTCACCGAAAATGGTAATACAATGATAAATAAACAAGGATGTACAATATTGATCAGCTAATGTACTTTGGATTTTATTTTATTCTATCACCATCCATTTAGTAAATTTAAACGCCCTGGTTGACAGCTGAATTTTCAGTTTCTAGAGTGAATAGAACTAAGTCAGTGGAAGTAAATATTTCAGTGTAGTAGATTATTAACAGTACTTCATATGTAAAAGCCTTTGGTATTATATACACTTTCCCAGAGTGAATCAGATGAAGTGAAGCATGGTACTCAAACCCAATGAATAATACTCGAATGAGCAATATATACAACACAATGTCTGTTTATAGGTGACAAAATAACCACAACAACCTGAGAAATGTAGTGCTAATGCCTTGAAGCGTTGGTGTAATCCTCTTAGAACTCCTATTATTTTACTAGCAATTCCCTAAAACTGATTTAATGATCAGGTCAAGAATAATAAACGGGGCAGATGGATAGATGATGCCAAACTAGGAGGTAGTGAATTGCAAGTACTAATGGATTACTTTAATGCTGTGCTAAAAGAAATCAGTAGCTCTACTTACGACGGGCATCGTTCTTAATGAACCATAGTAAACCGCTTTCTAGTTAACCTACCGTGCAGAGTGGTTGTGATTCACTAATATAAACTGGTATATAATTAACCTCAGTTTTTATCACTATGCGAGTTGTAGCTTCTCAGCTGCATTCTGAAAAGCTTTCCTATGAGGAACAGCTGACTACTGAGTGAATTTGGCACTTGTTCTCAATGAATTTCAAGGTAATAAAAGATGAAATAGATAGAATCTGTACTTAAGTGTGTCAGTGACTTTTATTTCTGTGCCCCCTTAAATAAGTACAAAGTATCTCTGTGCTACCCTTAGCATTTACTAATATGTTCATATACAGTGGAAAAAGTTCCTTTCACGTAACTATCAGCCTATAACTGAAGGAAAAATCAATATGTAGTCATAGGATTGAACAGTTCAATTTTAGATTTTCCCGTCGATTGATCGGTCTTAGGTTGACATATCGGCTGCTTCTGCAGATGCTTCGAAGATGTCTGGGCATGCAATTAGAAGTTAACTGGTGGATGGTGATTAGCAGTGGAATCCAAGATGCCCAGGATGACGCGTTGCACAAGAGATGGCTCTAGTGGTCCAAGTGGTCCAGTGGATAACGCTTTGGCGTTTGAAACCATGGGCACTGGGTTCCAACCTCGGTGGGAACATCATCACTCAGTGACTGGGGAATGCAGGCACATCCAGTTGACGAGTCCCAAATAGGACGAAATACGCATCCTGTATTCCACTGCTAGTCACCATCCACCAATTAAGTTCACATAGGAGTTTCACAGATTTCCTGACATGTATGACCAGGTAAAGTCATGGCAATATCTATTTACTAATTGATGATGCATTATCATTATGGCTAATTAATCTGATTGGTGACCTCATTAGATTCTTTTCAACACTTACACACTGCTGCTCGCTATTTAACGAAGATATAAAAGTAGACTTCGTCAAAAATCAAAATCAGCCAGAGAACCACTGAAAACCACAGAGTATTTGAAAGTTGTTTAACCATAGTTTGAAAATTTGTAGGAATGCACATAAGATTATTTGTGAATTTCTAAGTTCAAGAATATTCCGCCTAGTGGTTAAGTGTTCATTTTAGAATATCACTGTACTGCAGTTTATCCTTTCACGAACTTAGCGGTGTATGCTATTGCATAGTCCCAAAGTTGGATGAAACAGTTATCCTTGGTTCTCCAGCTAGTGTCAACTCATAACAACATGTACCTTGTAATCACTTGGTGCTATCTAATCGAGTGGAGGTGAAATTTACCAGAAATCTTCAGACTCCAAACAATCATCAATATGCCAGCTGTACTTGTTCCACCTCAGACCAGGCTGTGTCTGCCACCCGAAACGTCATAATTAGGCAACTTAAAGCTTTTGGAACCTAAGTACATGACTTAGCCTCCAGTAGATAGTGAAAATTGTAGTTGTTACCGACAAAAACTGCTAGTAGTAATCAGTGGTTATTGAAAAGCAACTAGAGAGTCGATACCATGGTTTAAATAACTAGTGGTTAAAGTGCACTTTCATTCAATATTCAATATTTTCAAATAAACAGGTCATCCTTTCTTGTTGTAAATAAAAGTACGATATCTATTTTTGAATTGGTATAAATTAAAAGTTATCTGTTTACATGTTACAATAATTCATTTTCACTACTTTTCAATCTAGGATATGGATCGGATTTTGACAAACACTCAGATTTTTTAAAAAAAAACCTTAATTATTTGTTATTTGTCAGAATGACTGTAAAAGCGTTGATATAAATGCTGAAGTATTCATTTTCACTTTTATATGGAAGCCATTCACTTTTGACAAACCGTATTCAGCACATCATTTTACCACCAAAGTAACTGTGGCCAAGAATCTGGATAACACCCAAACGTCTAGTTTCTGGGGTGGAAGGCATATCAGCAGGGAACTAAAACTGGTTCAATCCACTCTTGAATCAAATAATTATCCCAACACCTTCATAAAAAGATATTTAAAATGTGAAGATAAGGATGAATCGAAACCTGATGCTAAGAATTGGGTTAGTACAACGGTGATCCCTTATCGCAAAGAAACATCGGATGAGATCAAGCGAATCATTAACGATCATAACATGAGTGTATTTTCATGCAATTAACACCTTACGCTCACTACTGGGGAAGGTTAAGGTTAAAATAGAAGAAGAATACCAACAGAATTGTGTGTACCAGATCAGCTGTGGGGACTGTGATGCCGTATATGTAGGAGAAACTTCCAGACAGGTAAATGTAAGAGTGAAAGAGCATAAACAATGTCTAAAGGTGGTTCCAAAGATCTCTGCAGACTTGAAGAAGCTAGAAAACAGATCAGCGATTGCACTGCATTCGATAGAAACGGGACACAAAATCGACTTTGATAGGACTAAGGCTCTATAGGAAGGTTTTGGTTCATATAAAGAAAGACTGAGTGTAGAAGCTTTGCATGTATGGGTGAATCCCAACAGTTTGAACAGACGTGAAGGTGTATTATTATTATTATTGTATCCTTTAATTCCTACAGGAACATAGGGCTTCAGCCATGCGTCTCCACTGCGTTCTGTTCTCTGCTAGGGTGTGGTGTCAACTTATGCATGGGAAATCCTGATTAGTAAATGAAAAAATAGATATGTATCACAAATTAATCATACTTGGTCTAAATTCCCGATTTTCTATGTCTTCTTATGGAGAGGCTAACAAATGTTCTACAACTGTTTACCCATACACACTTACACACACCGTTGTATACTGTATATACACATATATCTTTCATATTCAGGTATCTATGTACATGAACTTTTGGTCGAACGTAATCACTAAAATTCTGATGAAAAGTACGCTCTTGTTAAACAATACTTTGATAAAGCTATTAGCATTAAATAGCGAAACGTCAGTAAAACAATATCGTTTTGCTTTTCATTCACTGGGAAATACAAAACCTTTATTATAATTAAAAGTACACTCTGTTTCAAGTTTTTGCCAAAAGTAGACTGATATTTGTAAGTCTGAGGTCAAATTGTGATCATAGCTCATACAATTTTGTTGATTATATTTTGACAACTGACTGTTTCATGACTCATATAGTTGGACAAAGTTTTTGAAAACAAGAGATGTCCTTTTTATGTATAAACCTCTGTTACGTTAATTTCGATTAATTTCCCTGAAGAAGTTCAGACCAGTTTAATGAACAAAACTTTGGAATTACTCATTTCAATTTCGCTGAGATTTTACAAATATAATTTTTACAAATGTCTACTTCTCACTCGGCGCCCAATTATATTGGAACTAATATCAGTTATAAAACAGCAATAAAACAATTCCAACAGTGGTGTGAACACGGGCAGTAATTTTGCTCGAAATATTACCAATAACAAAACTTATCATTGTGTGTAAGCTATTGAAATATAAATATACTTTATTATATTGGAACTATTCAGTCAAATCTTGATCACAGTTCATTTGAATAAAATCAAGTTCGTCATTTGCGAATTACACAGTTTGAAAATTGAAATTCACTACTGTTTTATTTGGAAGCCAAAATTATTGAGATTACAGTGTCTCATCTGCTTGACATCGTAAATGACAATCAAGAAAGCCAAACAGCCATTCTGTGTTTAGATCACTCTTATATGGCTGGAACTCCTGTCTGACGTGAGTCCTGTCCAACTACTCATATCAGCTAGGATCGTATGTCATCAAATTGGAGAAATAGTTGTTTTAAACAGTTAAAGATAATTACGAGAACGCTGTGTTAATATGAATGAAATCTACTGGCGCTGACCAATAGATGTCACACTTTTCGACTCTAGTTCTTCCTCTTGCAGCAGCTCAAATTTGTGAAATCAACAGCTTGATATTACGAACTTGTGTTCTAATCAATAAGCTTATTATGATCCCATTTTTCACAAAGTTGTGGTATAACTACTACTAGTGAGTAACTCAAACAACTTTGACTCTCTGGAATCAGTCACTCACAAAAACCTTAAAAGTGGAGTTAGACATTAAGAAATTCCTTTTTGTATTTTTCAACAGTATGTGCATCTGTTGGTTATCTTTCCTCAGAAGTAATTCAAAATTACAATGAGATGTTCAACTTACCCAATTCACATCTTTGTCCTTTGTAACCCTTTGGACATTTACAATAATACTTTCCAGTTTGTTTCAGGTCACGGTTTGTACAAATACCACCATTCAGGCATGAACTTTCGCTATCTGAATCACATGAGGTGGAGTTTTTACTGAACGCTGTTTCCGACAATTGTCCCAATGTCGACTTTTCATATGTGTTAACTTCTGATACGTCATCGGAGACAGAGTTATCTGCTTTCAAGTTTTCATCCTCTTTTTCAGATTTGGGGTACTTCAACTGAGACTCTAGGTTGTTAGATCTTTCATTATTTATTCGACAGCCTGGCAGTATTCCAATCGCTGTTCCATGATGTTTAGCTGCTGGTGAAGATATCTCAATGTCGTTTTCTTCTATTCCAGTCATCTTATCTACTGGTGCTCCAAAAAGGCGAGCAAAATCAATCATACGTCCATTAATTTGTACATTTCGTATGCAACCTTGACAGAAGAAAAGTAAAGTAGACAAAATTTAAGTTTACAGATAATTATTTAAGGTTTTCACTGCAAATCCAAAGCCCAACGAGTTTCGAAGGAGTGCGCACCAAATTTGTTGATCAGGAAGCCAAATTTAAGTATCGTTTTGTGAGTAGCTTAATATCTACTAGTTAAATTGTTGAAATAAAGTGAAACATTTCACGTAGGACTTTGTATTTATGAAGACTGGGAGCCTCTAGATGAGGAATGATGTTACATTATACTAACTGGTTACTAGAGAGTTAACAGTGTCTTCTGGTTTAGCATTTATCATCGGTTTAGTTATATCAGTCAAGTATGTACTGTGGACCACAAGTAAGGAAACTTATCAACTTGGTGCATTTTAAATTGATGTTATAAGAAAATCAGCTTGAGTTGGAGAAGCTAAGTTTCATGCTTACTTTAACTAATTATTAAACTGAAACTAAGATCTCGAGTAAACTGACTACCTCCAAAAGATTCGGATATGTGTTGTAGCCAGTCTGCTGGACTCAAAGTGGAGAAGAGGGGAAGGTGTGCGCTCAGACCGTCGAGGAACCTTCAAGATGAAGCTGAAACCCTTCAGAACAACTGCAGATAGGCGACAATTCAAGTTCAACATTCAGAAACTGAAGGACAAAACTACAATGAATGTCTTCACTATAGATATCGAGACAAAGTCGGACACACTTTGTGGCTTCACTGAGGAAACCTGCTTGGAAGAACACTGGAACTCACTCTCTGAAGGTGATTTTCAAAGAAACGTACACAACTGTACTAGGAAGAAAGAAGAGACAAGACAAGAAATGGCTCTCAACGGACACCTACCATGAAGCTAATAGAAGAGAGCAGAGGAGGATGATGAAAGAGAAGACGACTCAATGAGAAGATGGAAAACAGAAGGAGAAGCTGAGTACAGTGTACACTGCACTGAATAAAGAATAAAAGAAGAGTGCTAGGGAAGACAAAAGACAATTCTACGACACACTGGCAACTGAAGCAAAACAGGCAGCCCACTGGTAAAAGAGACCTAAGGACATTATATCAGATAACCAGGTCTCTATCCTAAAAGAGATCAACCCAGATGATGCAACCTATAAAAGACGTTCAAGGGAACCTAATTACCAAGGAGGAGCGGTGAACAAATAAGACAATGGGCTGATCACTTCAACGGACTCTTGAACCGACCATCACCTGCAGCTCACCCAGAAATACCATCAACAGCACACACAAAACCGCCTGCCAGTGGACACCAATCCTCCAACGAAAGCAGGAATCTTGAATGAGAGCAGACTACTGAACACCGACGGGTAGGTAGGAGGATTAGACGGAATTCCGCCGAAGCACTGAAAATGGATCGAGAGACTGCTGTACATGTCCTCACGCCATTATTGCAAAAGGTTTGGAAAGAAGGAAAGGTGGCTACGGATAGGAAGAAAGGTCACCTTGTCAAGCTGCCAAAGAAGGATGATTTATGCCTCTCCAAGAACTGGCATGGAAAAATGCTCTTGTCCACGCCAAGTAAAATCTAAGTAGCATCATCCTGGAGCGAATATAAGATGCACTGGATGCACAGCTTCTCCAAACGGAACAAGTTGTATTCAGGAAAAGCAAATCATATGCTAATCAAATTGCAACTCTACTCATCGTCATCCAACAAAGGATTGAATGGCAGTCGAACCTCTACCTCAACTTCTCCTTCGAAAAGACCCTCAACAGCGTTGACCGAGAAGTAATTTGGAAACTACTTCAATACTACAGCGTGCAATGCCCAAGTCTTTATCAATCTCACTCAACAGCTATATGACAGTGTCACGTGTCGGGTGATCCACAACGGAAAACTCAGCGAATACAGGGTAAGACAGGGCTGTCTATTATCACCGATGATATTTTTAAATGTGGTGGACTGGATTATGCGTCAGACTTTGGGGAGCGAGGAAACAGTAATACGCTGGACCACCGATAAGAAGACTCCAGAAGATCTGGATTTCGCGGATAATTCTCGTCTGATGTTACACAAACTCGAAGACTTGCAGGCGGGAAGCAACAAACGGGCTGAAGAAGCTGACAGCAACGACGGGACTCTGAGTGAACATAGGGAAGATGGAGGAAATGAAGATAATCAAAGAATCGCAACAACAACGACAACTAGCACCAATCACCATCAACGGGAGAGATTTAACAGAGGTTACTTCTTTCACTTATCTAGGAAGCATCGTCTTAACTACAGGCAGTTGGCATGGATGAAGACTTCAAAGTCAGAATTGGAAAGGCAAGATACACCTTCATCAACCTGAAATCAGTTTGGAAATCTTCTGTACTCTACGACATAAAAACATGATTCGGTTGTTCAACACAAATGTCAAATCAGTCACTTCTCTACGGATCAGAAATTTGGCTTGCTCCTCACGAAAAGGATTTCCAATAAGTTACAGACTTTTATCGACAGCTGCATCCGCTGGCTCCATACTGAAGATCAAATAGCCAACTGGCCAGAAGGAATTAGCAATAAGAAACTCTGACATCAAACCAACCAAGGACCTCTTGCTCAAAAGATAAATAGGGGAAAATGGGGATGGATCGGGTATACTCTGATGAGGCCGTCGAATGATATCACACACAATGCAAGCCATCGCTCGAATGGAATCCAAATGGGAAGAGACGAGTGGGTTGTCAGTTAAAGGGTGACATAGAAGAGATTGTGCAAGGAGGACGATATGGGAAATTATAGGCAATCGTAGAGCTGGTCAACTGAAGAGGACAGCTGAAAATAGAACGACATGGAGATGTGTTTGTTGAAGCTCTATGTTCCACTCGGAACCCAAGGGAATAATAAAAATGCTGCAGTTGGGTGGGTTATCCCTAAGCAGTTCAAATAGCCTACTACTCCTGAACCTGGTTAACTCTGCTGTTTGTCTAGTGTAGATTAATTAACTCTGTGGCTAGTCCTAACTTTATTGATCAATTTCTGATGTCAGCATAGAGAAACCAGTCTTGACAACATTTCAAGCACACCATACCAGTGACAGTCATAAAACTAAAAAGCTAGGTCAAGTGTGAATTTCTGTCAACTGACTTCAACCACCTATTTTTAAATTTCAAAGGAGGTTAAACTAGCCATTTAAAGTTCATTGATTGCAAACATTTATTCACTTGATTATGGACTTTTAGTAAAAATTAACACTATAATTATTTACTAGTATGGATAAAACTGTTAGATAGACAGTAAGCTAGTTTATCAATGTGTACCTATACTTTGGCTAGCTATGCATAAACGAATAATTTGTTTATCGCATAGGATACAAAATATTACTGCTTATCAATATAAACAATTCAACGAAAACTGTAGTAGTAGAAAATATGTAAACTCTTTGCATCGACTGAGGTTGGTAATCATGTGAAACCACACGTTTGCATAAGTGGTGACTTTTTTATTATCATTATCATGGTCAAATCTGTAACACCACCTCAAATATATGCCATCTTCAGTGCATGCATAACCGGTTTTGATTTGTATGCTTAGGTATGTTGGTTTTGCACAATGAAACACATTAGATGATGAAATTTATTCAATTTAGTTAACCAAGGTCTATTTCATTTTAGTCAGTAATAATGTATAGCTAAGTGCATTTACCGCAAGATATTGATTTTTAACCCTCTATTAAAATTTTTTTTAAAACAATACAGGGTTCTACCTACTTGAATTTTAGGCAGGATTAAAAACCATTTGATGTTGGACATAAGTTTCGTCTAAGTTTTAGGCTTTGCAGCGGTACAGTCTTATAAAGTACAGAACCCAGGATGGTGAGGTTTTGAGATATATGTTATAATACCCCTCTACTAGGTTAATAGGAAGTAGATGGCTTATAACTTCCAAATTATGCCAATCAACTACGTGACTCAATCGAAATCTGATGATAACTGGCGAGTAACTGAACACATACATCTGAATAAGTCGATTGTATTAGTCACGAATTAATCAGAAAATCTTTGGAAATCAATAATCGATACTTAACTGTCGTTAAAATAGCGAAAATATTCAGATATCTATAAAACACAAAATAATTGAGCAAAGAATATCCTTTTCAATAATTTTCTCTCCTGGCTCTACAATTATGCGTTTTTATACATAGAATATTCTAGAATAGTAGTCAATAAAAATTTTAGTGTTTTTTAAATAATATCGATTTGTAAAGTGAGATCAATGGAATTACAGTTCATTAAAGATGAATAAATAATAATATAATAGCAAATAGAATACCAACTAAAATTAGGGAAATTTCTACAAAAATTGAGGATCATTCGAACCTAGATGGCCAAGGTAAGGACAATATCTGAACTAGCTTCTTTTGGACACATAAATTAGGCTTCTTAATGCGAATCCCAACGGCTTAGGCAGTACTTAGTAGACGAACTCTTAAGGAAAAGTTGAGATATGTTGCTTTGCGGTAAATGACTTTGAAAGCCGCCTCGTTGACATCAATCTTGTGTTCTGTATCCACAAGATGAGATAGAATAGCGCTACGAATAGATTTTGTTTGTCCTTTACTTAACCACGCAGGGTGATGTTCGGAAATTCGACGATAAACACGCCTAATTGTACGGACTATGTAACTGGCTCCGCAGGAGCAGTTAGATTGGTAAATACACATGGAAGAGGCGAAATTAGGCAAATGAAATTAGTTCAGACATCATCCTTACCTTGGCCATCTAGGTTCTAATAATCCTCAATTTTTTGTAGAAATTTCCTTAATTTTAGTTGATATTCTATTTGCTATTATATTATTATTATTTATGCATCTTTAGTGAACTGCAATTCCATTGATCGTACTTTACGAATCGACATTATTTAGAAAACTCTAATATTGTTATCGACTACTATTCTAGATTATTCTATGTAAATAAGCACATATATAATTGTAGAGCCAGAAGAGGAAATTATCGAGAAGGATATTCTTTGCTCAATTATTTTGTTTCATAGATGT